AGACAGACAGTACAGGCTTGTGAGTGAGAACCAGAGCCACCCAAAGTATCTGAGCTACACAAAAGACCTAACAAGGACTGCTATATGATATATTACCAAGTACTTTGTTAGTGTTACAGAGTTACACTAGTAGTAAAACAAGATCAGTTTCTTACAAATCATCTTATGAGACAGTACAGAATGTGGCAAGGAAGGGGTGGTGAGAATATTGTCCTAGACTGAATGTTGGCAATTTACTCACCATATGATGTAAAATTATATTCATGAGTGTTGCTTATTTCGTTGTATAGTAGGGAAGCAATCTAAAAGCATTGCAGGGCTTAGTTTATGGTCAATAAAAGTATTGACCATAGTACTACTGTTAATAACAATAGTACTATTACTACTGTTATTAACATTCAAGTTTTCAAATTAGCATAGACTTCACATAGAATAAATTGATGCTCAGGGTAAGCAGGTATAGGAAGGCTCATTTATGGTTCTTTCTCTTAAAACAATGAGATATAAACCCAAATCTTTAAAAATTTCATTGTATAAATTGCTTTGATTCAAGACAGAAAGATCAGTAAAAATAATGGCAGAACACTGGATATTGCCAATCATGTATGGCCAATAAGTTATATAATATGAATTAGAGCCAAATGGCTTTATGATACTTAATAATTAGGCAGTATTCTTTCTAATATATTAAAAATCAATTCTGATGCAGACGTTTTCCCATACATTATGACTAGCACAGATTTTTTTCTTTAACCACCCAGCTGCTACAATGTTAAATAAATTAATTTTAATCTTAAATCAGAGACGTAATAGAGACAGGGTGATTTAATATGCAATCTCATTAAGTTTGACAGGCTTATTTATAAATGATCTGCCCCACATTTTGACAAGCATAGTTAATATGTTAATTAGCTTTAAGAAAGATGATGAGAGGAAGTGCCTGACATACCATCATTCTGTGCATACTGTGTTGGGGGGCACTGCAGTTGATACCACGGGCCCCCTCTAAAGCGCAATGCCTTTAACGAGATAATCGCTTATTAACAACAGATAATTTAGTGACCTGATATTGAAAATGAATCCTGTGAAACAATCCCCAACAATGTTCTGTTTTGGAGACTATGTTCAGCTGCAAACACAGCTCTGATCATGCAGAGAGGGGAGGAATAGAAGCTTAAATTCAAACTGCAGCTCTGCAGAGAGGGCAGCACTCTCTAGCCAGTAAAGAGCTACACAGACAGGCTGCCTTCACGTCCATGCTCCCCTTCCTGGGCTCTTCAGACCCCATAAGTCCCTCTGGTTTGGAAGCTTAGCAATGCTTTTCTATGCTTTGACCTTCAAAGAGCTACAAAGCCCAGGCATTAACAAACATTTTACAAGAGGCAATGTTCAATTCAATCTTCACTTACGAAGGGGAACAAAGGTATCAAAACCGCCTTGATGAGCTCTTAAGTTGCACTGCTTATTCACACATCGCCATGGTGCTGACGACCTACAGGAGAAGCTCCTAACAGTGCCAGCTCTGATTTCCATCACATGCTGACAGTGTTATTGCATACGTGTCTTCATTAATATTTTTAGGGCCTGTGGCCATTTAACACTGTATATGGATCATCAGTTTTTAGTTACTCCAGCCCCAGGACAGTAAACGAACTGTAAAAATAGCCTGAAACTCCTGCCACCTGCCTCCCTGCTGCTGTCCCTGGGTTAATATTTGTATTTCTTTTTTGGTGCAGCTGAGCCATGACTCAATTACAATCCCATTTTCAGGTGTCTGAATATCTTGCATTGATGCCATTGATTATGCAAAAAAAAAAATCAGTGCCCTGTGAACATCCCTCTCATGGGAAAGACACATGCATTTTTTACCTGACTGCAAAACAGCAAAACAGCTTTTAGAAAATTGCTTGGAATGAAATCACATTCAGATTGACAGGCATAGCATAGACATAACCTAGATTTTAGGGCTTGGACAAGAACTGAAAATAAGCATGGGAAGTTGCTCAAAAACCAAGCACATTTGCTATTTGTTTCTGGCAATGAATAATCTGGGCATGGGGACAAAAGGGCATTTGGGGTCCACTATTTTCTACTGGACTCCCCGCTTCCTCTTAAACAATAGGCTTCTTCGTGTGTTTCTATTATGTCTCTGTTCAAAGCAAATTGGCAGCAAGTGCCCAAACTATCTCTCACACACATGGGGTGGGGTGAACTAGGGCAGATTAGAAAACAATGTGTGCCACAAACATTAGAAAGTCAGAGCTCATCCTGTAGTTGGTACTGTACAGAGCATTTTGCTTTTCTCCATCGTGTGTGTGTGTGTGTGTGTGTGTGTGTGTGTGTTTGTGTGTATGTGTGTGTGTGTTTGTGTGTGTATGTGTGTGTGTGTGTGTGTGTGTGTGTGTTGGGGGGGGCATGCATACAGAGGCCAGAGGTCAGCTTTGAGTGTTGCTTCTCAGGAAAGCAGTTACCTCTACCTTTGCAGCAGGAAGGCAGTTATCTCACTAGCTTGGAGCTCTCTAAGCTCTCTGAGGCTGGCTGGACACTGAGACTCAGGGATCTGCCTGTTCAGCACATTCACAATTGTACATTGGTTTGGAGGATTGAGTTCAGGTCCTCCAACTAAGCAATAACCCCAATCTCTTAAACATCATTGTGTTTGTATGCTGTACATTATATGTGAGTGTGTGTATGTATGAGTGTAGGTACATGTATTGTATCATGGAAAGGTCAGACGTCAATGGTGTCCTTGATGTCCACCTTAACTTTTGAGACAAGGTCTCTCCCTGCATTTGCAAATCACTGCTTTGGCTAAGCTGAGCTCCAGTGCCTGCATGCCTGTCTCCTCATCCTCTGTGCTAGGTTACATATGTGTGACACATGCTAAACTTAGGTCATCATACTTTCCTCATCCTCTGTGCTGGGTTACATGCATGTGCCACCATGGTAACTTAGGTCATCACACTTGCAAGCATTTCATAACTGAGCCATCTCCCTAGTCCTTAGAGCACATTTATTTATTTATTTATTTACTTGCTTACTTACTTATTTATTTATTTTGCCAAAATTGAGCCAGAGGCACAGGATGAACAACTGCTTGTGGTTAGGAGGGTATAATCTTGACTAAACTGCCAAGCTACTAAGACAAAACTAGCTCCATACCACAAATATTTCAAAACACATTTTATTATTAGAGACCTTAGCTGAACTCACTGAAAGATGACTAAGAATTTTCATATGCAAAAATAAATGGAAAAATACTTTATAACTGAAGACTGTAATATAATTATTATTTGCATAGCCTACTCTTAAGGAACAGCAGAAAGTAGCAAATGATTATTAAGAAAGCAACTAACTGGTACCCTGGTGTGTGCACTGGCCTCTGTCTCTAACTTTCCCCATTATAATTAATGATCTATGTATCTATGTTGTCCAAAGATAGGCCTATCCTTAGGGGAAAATATTAACTACAGAAAAAGTAAATAACCACTAAAAAGCCAAGGCCAGGAAGTGTGATGAAAAGATGGATTAGCTTAGCCACTCAGCAATACATGGGGATATTTATTCTTGGGATTTTGGAATATCATTAAAATGTGATTAGATTTATGATAAGGCATACAAATTTATGGTAACAGATCTCTGGGTGTTTGATGGCCTATATTTTTACAGTTTTATTGAAAGCTATATATCTAGACTCTCTGATGATAGCCACATGTACATAAGAGGCTGCAGATGACTCTAGTGGTTCCACAGAACACCAAACACCACAGCTAGGGGTACTTTAACACCCATTAAGAACGTTCCTAATTTTTAAAGCTGAGATTTGCACGGGGTAGAGTCATGAAGTAACTACACAGGAGGAAGACAATTAATACAGTCTGAAGTTTTACTGAGGCCATAAACATTATATGCTCATGTAGCTAAATTCTAAATACAGGGGCATAATCACTCAAGAATGATGGCTCTTTTATAAAACAGCCACAAGCTACATGAATTGAGAAAAGGAAAAGCTATGCTCAATGGCCATGGGTGACTCTCTGCAGAGTGTTAAGAATCAGATTCATTCCCTTTGATGATTATGACATTTAAATCTCATATAATTGGGAATGCAGAGTAGCTTGCCAGTATTAACAAGTATGCAACAAATATTACCAATCATTCTAATACACTAAGAAGATTTTAACAGCTGGTGAACTACTGCATGAAATGATTCTGAGATTTTTCCATATTTTTAAACACTCAAAGAATTTATTATCAACAGCTTTCAATCATACCAATTACCAGAGCTATGTAGTAAATATAAACTTGTTCTATGTTAGTTCTAACTCTACTGCTCTTTGGAGATACATATTTCCTCATTATAAAACAAAACCACGTGTTATGACCTTACAGAGAAAATGACAGTACTAACAGAAGAAAGCCTCTGATCTTGTCCATCAAGAACCCTTAGAAGGTTCCATCTGGAGCAGATTGTGATGAGGTACCATTCCCAATCAGGTTTTTTTTTTTTAAATCATTTTTTATTTGAATTAGAAACAAGATTGATTTACATGACAATCCCAGTTCCCTTCTCCTTCCCATCCTTCCCCACCCGACTAAAATCCTATCACATATCCTTTCTTCTATTCTTCCCCTGACTCAACCTTTTGGCTCCCTCATGACCTCTGCATCCTTCCTCTTCTTCCCTTCTCATTCTTGTAGCTCCCTCCCCCCATTTCCCATGCTCTCAATTTGCTTAGGGGATTGTGGCCCAGGGGACCATGCATGTCTCTTTTAGGGTCCTCCTTGTTTATTAGTTTCTCTGGCAGTGTGGATTGTAGGCTGGTAATCCCTTACTCTATGTCTAAGATCCACATATGAGTGAGTACAGAGGCAATATAGTACTGCCACACAGACAACACTCCTGCTTCACTGATGTTCCTCCAAACTGGTAGATGTCTGTCTAGCTTTGGGCCAGACCAAGCATGCCACACTGTTTAGCTAAAGAGTTCATTTCTCACCACATGTCAAGGCAGGTGGAATATTCTGTAGAGCCCAGGAGAACATCAGGAGGTCTGTACCACAAGGTAACCACTTCATTGGAGTATGTGTGGCTAGGGACGGATTTTGCTCTTGCAAGACCTGTAGGTTATAGGAAACGTAAAGAAGTTAATGGGCTTGAAAAGAACATGTGTTTTAAGTTAAAATATTACATTTTAAAAGGTTAAACAACATTACTGTAATTCAGAATCATGAATACAATGCCGAAGTTAACATATTTGAGGAGAACATATGCAGTCTCTAGGCTTTTAACACGTTAATAATTATGATATAATGCATATTGAAAATAAAGCATTTGTGCTATGGATCTATTAAGATACAACTAAACAAAACAGAACTACCCTAGAATCCCCCTGGTTACTTTATCAGCTTTGCAGAACTCTAGTTTGAGAGTTCCAAATTTGTAAGTCATGTTAGTAAGGGCTCTTTGGCCAAATAATTTGCAGAAAATATAAATTAAGAAAGCTAAAGACTCCCAGCTATACAAAGGATCAGTGCTACCAGTGTTTACAAGTGTTTTGAATCTGTAAGGAGGAACTGGAATACTCTTCTCAAAGAGTTACCCCAAAACTTCTTATTGTGTGTGTGTTTCTCAAAAACCCACAAGTAGCTACACACTGGGGAAGGTTACCTAAAAAAACCGATGAGTTACATAACTAAAAAGTGATGATCAAACTGGAACATATAGATGATGAAAGATGATATCAAGTTGCAACGGGCAAAAATTGGCAACATTACTTTAATAGAAAATACGTAATTTGACCTAATAACTGAAACGATTTGCACACAGATACAAGACTGTTAAAGAAAACAAAACATGTATACACATATGTTGTCCATGGTTTAACTCTGGAATGTTCGATTATCCATTTCTAAGAGAATGTATTTTATTTTTAATTATGTGTAGGGTGGTATATGTACATGAATGCGGCAGCCCACGGAGGCGCAAGAAGGGGGTCAGAGCTCCTGGAGCAGGAGTTACAAGTGTCTGTGAGCTGCCTGATATGGGTACTGAAGCTAACCATGGTTCTCTGCAAAGTAGTATATTACAACATGCTCCTGCCCCGAGCCATCCGTCTAGCCCTGTCCCTTTCATAATTTAGCCAGTTTTTCTGAGTATTTTCCCCAAGGTTGTATGTAATAACTAATACTTTTTGAAGAATGTTTATTTGCAGTGCTAACAAGGAGTGGACATGTACCCCTGCCACTGCATGTGAAGAAAGCATACTACCAACAAGCTATGTCCACAGTCTAATTCCTTTTTAAAAAGATTTATTTTTATTTTTAACTCTGTGTGTGTGTGTGTGTGTGTGTGTGTGTGTACACATACATATGTACATACCTGCACATGCTATGTAGACAAGCATGTGGGTGGGTACCTGTTAAAGCCTGAAGAGGGCATTGAATTCCCTGGAGTGGAGTTACAGTCCGTTGGCTGCCTGATCTGGGTGCTGAGAACTGAACTCAGCCCTTCTGCAGGAGCACTAAGCGTTCTAAACCACTGAGACATCTTCCCACCCTTCTACTTCTTTTAACAATCATACATCTCACAACATGGTTTTTGAAAGTAAAACAAGTCATAATAGATCATTTTCTGACTATGGCATTAAAGATTAATGAGATATTTAAGACCTGAAATGCTGCCTCATGGCCCATTTGTTAAAGACCAGTTCAGTGGCCCACAGTGATACTGGGAGTTGATGGACCTTTCCAGAAGAAGAGGCCTAGCCAAAGGACATTGGTTCCCTGGCCATGCTCTTGAAGGGGATGTCAGGATGATAGCCTTTCTCTCTTTGCTCCCTGACAGCGACAAGGTGAGCATCTTTGTTCCACCATGGGCTTCGTCCTTTAATATTCTGCCTTTAGCATCGGTCCAAAAGCAACAGGACCAGCCCATTACTGACTGAAACTTCTGAGACCATGAGCAAAATGAAACCTCTTCTTCATCTAAGTTGAACAGCTCTGGCATTTTTTCAGTTATGTGACAAATCAACATGGCAAGCATAAAGGATCGCTTATCAGTATCATACTTGAAGTACAATATGATACAAGGTTTCTGCTGTGAGCCTACTTTAAACATGTTCATTTCAATGATATATTCAGATGATCAGAGATGTTCAGGAACACAACTTCTTCCTGTTTTTTAACCATGGTTCTTAATTTTCTGGGTTATTGTAAACTTTAAAATTAACATCATAGCTGGTAAGACAAAGAATTGCTAATTAATTCAATTATCATTATAGTCCATTTTCCTACAGTATAGTATTGACAATAAGGTGATGACAAATGGAATTGGTTAATGCGCATATATATATATATGTATATATTATATATATACATATATATATCCCATAAAAATGTATAGGTATATACAAAATGTATAGAAATATACAACAATACTCAACTTACTACACCTAATATTCTACATACAAATAGAACTATGTCCAATCAGATTCTCTGTAGCACATTCTTTACTCTCAATTCAGACAAAACTGGACTATTAATCTGACAATAAGGCTGGGAAAGTGTCTGCAGGAATTGGCAACCCCATCAAAGGTCTGGTCCTTAAACAATTTCATTTCCATATAGAAAGCAATGAGCTAAAGGCAGGTCTGGAAATTGGTTCTGACTCATCCCATATGTGGCTGTCAAGTCAAATGGGATGCCAGAGCATCCAAGCTAGATTCTCTTGCTTTTCCTGAGGCCTTATTGTCAGACAGCTCAAACAGAGATAGTAAAATGGGAAAATGTGAGATTTTCTTTGACAGTTCAGACAATCAGGCTAGTTATTAGTAAGTAGAAAGTGGTAGTCTAAGTTGGGAAAAAAATGAAACTTCAGAATATCCTAAATACAATGGAAATCAAACCATTACATGTGATTGCAGACTAAATGTGAGTTGTTACGTTGGTTAAGTATTTGTGGAAACGTTGGTTAAGTATTTGTGGAAAATACAAATAGAAATTCCCAGTCTATATTACTTTCTCCTGCCTCACATACTTAGGTCAAAGAGAGTCACAACTTCATTCAGCTGGGCTACAAAAGTTTCCAAAAGAAAACTGAGGATGAATTTTCAAATGTTTAAAAAAGAGGTTTTTCTAAAAAAGAAGGTTTGTACATAGATATGTCATATAGAAAATAAGGGTCTTTCATTTCAGAATACAGTTTTCTCCATCTCTTGAGGAAAAGCCCTCTCATCACCTCACATGAGGTGATGTTAGTTTTGAAAGTGTGCCATACATCAATGATCAAAAGGTTTTCACTCTTAGGACATTTATATTCATTTACTAAGCACAATAAACCCTATGTTTTCCAGGAAAGTCTAAATTACTTAACAATGGCTCTTTACAAAAAAGAATACCTTAAAATATTCTCCAATCTTTTTGATAAGGACAACACTATGTTTTTGTAAAGTTCACAAATCAAAACCTGCTTACTCATGCAAAATTTATTAAACCCCATCTTCCAGCTGAAGAAAAACTGTAGGACAGGATTAATTAGCACAGCATGTGTGAAAGCTTTCTCTCTCTGTTCCTGGCCAGTTGCTATGGTTACACTACAGGAAGAGAGCTACACTACCTTTTAAAAAACATGAAGTTCATGGGTGATTATCAAAACTTCTTCTATTAATGTTTAGTCTGAATTGAAAGTGGAAAAGAATAGTGAGATGAAACCTAGATGAGGGCAGCTTGTCTGCTCGGTGCAACAGAGCTGTGTTTATAACCCTGGAAGAGTGCCGGTTCCCATGGGCTCCTATAGGGGCTCTCATAACAAATGGATCGACATGGCTTTAGTGTTGCTACTTCTAATGAGGGCAGACATAAGAGTAAATGGCGACGACCTGTTATTCAAAGCTACTGCTGACAGTTCTGAGTTGGGCTACCACTATTTCTGTATTGAACCTCAGATTTACAGAAGTAAAGAAGTTTTATAGCTAACAATTTTCCAATGAAAGAATTCCTTTCCCCTCCTCTATAAGACAGGTAACTGAGAGGTATTTATTGAAATGAAATTAACAGATATAGTAAGGCCACTTAGAATGACTGGGCTAAATACTGTTTGACAAGCCCATTGTTGTGGATTGGAGTGTGTATTAAATGAAGCTTCGGCTGACAGGGCAAAGCAAATTGCCTGATGTTGGTTCCAAAATTAGCCAAGTGGTTATATCTTCTCAAGTTCCTAGGGCTCTGTAGACTTTTTTTGTCTGTTTGTTTGTTTTGCTTGTTCTTTGTTTTCATTTTTAATCAGGGTCTGAACTCTGAGATCCATAAATTGAACTAACAGACAGGCACTTTTCATTCCAAGTAAATTCTTTTGGAAAGCAACTACGTCCAGTTATTCACACATGACAATGGCTGCATTTGTACTGAACAGCTGAGTAGAGTAGCTGACAGATGCTCTGTGACCCAGTAAACAACTTCACTTAGAATATGACATACTGAGTAAGAAAGATCTGCTGATACTTGGGACACACTAAAGGGAATTTTAATGCTCATCAAGTAATCAATTTCAGTAATCCTATGGATATAATCCCCAAAAATCTTCACTAGATGTATAAAAATCACACACACCCCATCTCCTCAAAAGCTTTAACCTCAGTAGCTCTGCAACACTGATCCTGTCCCATCTGCAGGAGGAGGGGGTGCAGAAGCATTCTCAATGGGGCATGTGTTAATACGCCACCATTTCACAGCTCACTGGCTTATGTTTCTAGTTTCTGCTTCTCAGTTTGTGAAACTCAATGTATTATTCTAATTCCAGATGACAGCACCACACAGCAAATGAATGTCCTCATCTGAGTAAATTGGCAATTCCAATGGATTGCCATGCCCATACTGGCAGTGTACCAACTTTTATTGCTGTTATCTTTTTAGGATAAGATTTTAGACTGGACATGAATTTGCTATGTAGCTGACACTGACCTTAAACTTCTGATCTTATGGCCTCCATCTCCTGAGTCCTGGAGTTACATGCATGGAACTGGTTTATTGGACGTGTTGGACCAAACCCAGGGCCTCATCAATGCTAGATAGTACCCTACCATCTGACTTGATCTACATTTATTACCGGTTTTTAAATTAAA